ATGTCTGGTATTCAGTGACAGGGGCACACTTAAAATGTTGTTAATTAACATATCAGGTACTAAGCAGATTTCACCTATCAACTGCAGCTCCCTGATGTGTTGTGTTTTGATTTTGGAATTTATTTAGTGCTCACATCATGGAAGATATTAGAGCATCCAAACCAAAACTAAATTTTATTTAACAGCATTTATGATAACTTTCCAAAGCTGTGTGAAAAACTAAGAAATATATTCTATTTATCCATTCGCTAGGGAAAGTAATTATGTTAATTGTATATTATATATATTATCAGTTATAACTTAGGAAAGAAGGATTTGCGTGTGTTTGTGCACATTCTCACACAATGAAAATTGATTTACATAATATCCACACCACTAAACATAACTTGTACCAATTTATTTTTTAAAATTATGTATTCTGCTTTGAAGTAAGGTTACTAATACAGTAAGGCTACTAATATTACAGCACTATAATAAAAACCTAACATATATAAGGATATGTCTTCTTTATTCATAAAGACCAATTAGAAACCTCCTTACTGGTATTGGGTCCAAGAGGTCCCAGAGAATTTATAGGGACTACCATATGGAGTTTTTATTTATTTTAAAAATTAATTGGATTCAAATATAGATTGGCTTAATTTTGTTATGAAATATTGACATCAGAAATCAGGTGTTGCATTTTCCATTAGTAGAAGGCACACTGAAGTATCATATTGCAGAGGGAAATGGAGTGGCAAAGCAGGAAGGTTGGGCTTTTGAATACAGCCCCAGAGTTGAAGAAGCAATCATACATCGGTCTTAGGGAGAAGTTGGTTTACATGTCTGCCCTCTGTAATGCCCTCTTTCAGCAGTCCAGCTGATTTGAGTATACTATTTCTTAACATTATAATGTACTTCAGACAATCCCTGCCAAACTGTAAAACATTGTAAATATACCTAAATATATAGAAGAAGTAGCACCCTCTCAGCATGACCCTTAAAATAGATCTGAGCATTTACACTGGTGCTATTTAATCAGTAGTGCAATATGAGCTGAAATGCAGATTGCCATTTCCATGCTAGGATTGCTATTTGTTCTTTTTAAAATCTCCTCATTTACTTCAAGGCTTATCTTGGCAATCCACAGAAAGAGTTTTCTAGTTGATAAGGTTTCCTGTGTTGCCACAAGAGAGAGACACACATAGTAAACAAACCACCTTGTTTAATTTAGGCTGTAAGAATGGGGTGAATTCACCTGAAGAGATGTCTTGCATCTTAAAGAAGAAGCCTTATACCAGACAACTAACTTTAGATGTCAAAAGTGAGCAGATATGAATCACCAACTCTAAGATATAAAACAGATTAACAGATGAAATATTATGGTTTTTTCCTATTGATCACAATCACACATGTTGACCAATACAGAAAAGATACACATTTGTTTTCAAGCTATGTCTTTGAGCAGAGCCAGTAATCCATAAATTACATATAATCATCACAACTGAATTTAAACATGACAACTAAGCTTGCATTTCCTACCAAGCCTGTTGTGCAGAGGCATGGGCATCTCGGCCCAGAACCAGCTAGGACATCAAAAGATCCTCCACGGGTTCTTCTGCTCCATGGCAAGGGTGACTGGGTCTTGATCATTCTTGTCAGGTGTTTGTCTAAGCAGTTCCCAAGGATCTCCAGGGCCAGAGCTTCAACAGCTTCCCTGGGTTGATCTATTCTATCGCTACACTGCGCTTAACATCAGAAAAACTTAGCTAGTATCTAATCTAAATTTTCATGCTAATGCAAACCAATTCTTTCTTGCACTATCCACAACTGGCACAGTCAATTACTTTATTTCTCCTTTCAGCAGTCTTTTGTGTATTTGAACAATGTTGCATGCCTCTTCTGTATGCTTTAATTTAAATAACCCTTCAACATTTCTTTATAGATCATGGCTTTCTGACTTCTTCATTGCTCTCCTAAGGATTCTGCTCAGCTAGTCCACATCTTTCTTGAAGGACAATGCCTGAAATTTGAGAGCTGAGTCCTTATTAGTGTTAATCAGAGAGAAGGGTTTATTTAAAATGTTTTGCACACTGAATTTTTTTATATATTCCCCTATAATGTCAACTTGTGTCCTAAGACTGTATATGAAGACTGAAAATTTGAAGATTATAATGCTGATGAAGCTGAACCCATGCAACAGGTAGTCTCATTTTTCAGAGACCCTTAATTTTTATATTATCAGGAGCTATGTAGCAGCTAATGTAGATATTAGTAGCTAGATATTAAAAAAAATATGCAACCATGAAATTGTCATTTCAGAAACAAGTTTGGGTATAGACACAGTTGAATATCTGTTCTTTGGTTGTGATTACTTGACATTAAAGCCCAATATATGTTTTTTTTTTTTTTTCTTTCATAGAGCAGACAAGTCCTAAGCAGTAGTAATTCAAGCATCTCTGCACTGTTCTGGCTGGTATCTTGAACTGTGACCTGGGATCACTTCCTAAATGATAGTGGGCTGCTACCATGACTACTGCTGACTTCAGTTGCCAGGCAAGCTTAGCTTTAGTATCTCAGTTATAGTGACAGTAAAAAAGATCAGAGTCCAAATGTGATGAAGTGTTTACTTATAATGTATATAAGTGGTTAATATGAAATAAGTAGCAAGACAGAAGTCTTTCACCTGGACCTTGCAGCTTTCCCTGTTTTGTTGACATTACTTTTGACCTTTGAAGCGTAAAGAAAGAACTGGTTGCAGATCCTCCTCTTTACCAGCTCCCACCACATCTGCAGATGTCACCCAGACCAGCTCCATCTCTCCCCACAAACACCCAGGCTGGAGCTGCTGGAGCTGTGGTTGTCCTTAAGCACACAACTGCCACTGGAGTTTGAAGCTGGTGCTGTTACAGCTGTTGCTTTTTCCTGGGCTCATGAGGGTAGTCATAATGGCATGTGGTGTTCCCATTGACTAATGGAGCTGGCCGAAACATCCTCCCTTTTTCGTCTGTGCTCCCCAACAGAAAATAAAGTTGACAAGTCCACATTTGGAGAGCTTTTTTAAAGCATGGTTACATGCTTTGATTACTAAACACCCCCATTATAAATAGATAGATAGATAGATAGATAGATAGATAGATAGATAGATAGATAGATAGATAGATAGATAGATAGACAGACAAGACTAATCCCATCCCATTCACCTCTGCAAATCCACATTCTATTTGGATATCAGTGAATTATTTGCTTTGAAAAAACTAAGCCCAAATCCTTTATTTTTACTTGTGTGGATATATACAATATATGGTGTTATATTTTATATTTGGGCTCATAAATTGTGAGAAAAATGTTTAAAAGCTTACAAAAGTCCATATTGTGTAGGTAATGGATGAGATTTTCAAAAACATGTAGATAACAGAACTTTAGAACTGTTAATTACGTAAGTTAGAGAGTAAAATAAATGGATAAGTTTCACTGCTCTTTGCCAAAATAACTATTTTTTGGTGAGTTCTTTGTCTGGTAAGTAGCTTCTAAGGTGACTTCAATATAATTCAGAAATGCCAGTCTACCTTTCAATATGATCAGTAATGGATCTTCATGGCCTGTCACTGTATACGTGGTTGTCAAGACTCTTGTCTTTTAAACTAATACTAGATTAATTCACTAACATTGAGCTTACTTTATGAACACAATACCTAAAGTTAAAGTTTGTTTTACATAGTTCCAAGAGGATATTGAGATTGCATTTAATTGAAATCAATTAGTGTTTCAGCATTTATAATTCTATGTGTCTTTTTCTCCTGAATCTGTTTTCCAAAAGAAGATGAGGAATTCTAAAACTAGATGTTATTTTCCTATTTAGATGAATTATTTAAAATTGCCTTTAATTTAGTTTATGTTTGGAACTCACTGCAACACATTAATGTTCTAAGGCAACTTTTGTACAACTTTTCTCTGATGATATGCATTTAGCAGAGTTCCAGCTGGCCTCTAGAGTCTTTTGAACCCTCAGCAAGATGCAACCTCAGTGGAACCTCAATGGTGTAATGTTAGAGTAGTGGAAGTGCAATGCAACTTTTTCCAACTCATTAACAGAGTTCAGAAGGTTTCGACTGAGAGTTCATGTCAGCATTAGAAAGTCTAAAATTGCTGTAATTCTCATTTTCTGCAGGCTCTGCCTGCTGATGACAAAATTATTTTTTTATGCTTAAAAAAAATAAAAATCTGTGTAACACATGAGGGCAAGCATAGCCATTTAAGGCATACCTTTTATACTTAATGTAGAAAGAAGAAGTCTGCTGTGCAAGTACGATAAGTCTGCATTCCAGGGACTTTGGATTAGTTGCACAGACAATATAGAATCAATCTCTCCATGGGTGTATATTATTGTTCACATGCAGCAGATAGAAGGAAGATTTCATCAGATCTGTTGTTTCTGATCTTACAATGGATGGGAGTCAGCAGTTATTTTTGATAATGAATCTTTTTATCATATGTCATTAATATGGTAAGTACAATATCAATTTACAGTGGTCTGAGTATACTTCTTCTTCAAGTGAAATATGAGAGAAGGAGAATTTGTCTAACATTCCAGAGATTCTATTCTTGAGCATATCAAAAAAAAGCTCTTAAAATTCATGATACAAAAATCCTTCCTTTTGTTTTCTTCCAAAGACAACCAAAAGCACCTAAAAAATTCCACCAGATTACAAACAACAAATGTAAAAAAACTAGGAAGGGAAAGAAAGTTTTCTACACTAATGAAAGACAAAGATTTTCTTTTATATATATGCAGATTCACAGACCAGTCTAATTGCTGTCCTTCTTCCTGTGGTTCTCATTGTAAAGACCGTGGTGCAGTTGGTATGTAGTCTTAGTTTCAACTCACGAATCTCTTACAAGGTTTGAAGGACTCAAAAAATGTTCTGGTGCTTGAGGATGGAGGTTGGGAGGTCACTGGGAATCTGTTTGTGTTTGGTGTTTTCTGCATGACTGACCTCACTTTCCCTTCTTCTCTGCAGACAGGCCAGGTCTGAAATGTGCCTTCTGATGACATTGGTGAGTTCTTGCCTTTCAAGTTTATGCACTGATGCAAGGTGAAGAACATAAAGCTTCTTACTCTCAGGTATTGTGCTGTAACCTGGTGTTTTAGACTGAAAGCCATGAAATGTGACTTTCTATTCCTCCAGATAAGTAGATAGTATTTCAAAGAGCAATGCCCCAGGTGTGTTTTTTTATTTTTTAAAGGTTTCTAAGGGATCTTATATTATTTTTCAGGCAGGATTATCTGGGACATCTGAAATAGTAATGAAACTGTACTAACTGCAACTTAAACAAATGAAATAATTGATATTTCAGATTATAAACATGTAAAATAATGCATTCATGTTCAAGATATCCTTCTAGTTTTATCTTTCTCCTGAAGGAAGATACTGAAGGAAAAACAGAAGATCTCATTTCCTATATCAGCTGATATACTGGTATATTTTTTTCTAAAGGATTATTTCAGCTTTCAGGGATATGGTAGCCATGGCAAGTAATCTTCTCTTTTATCCTTCAATAGTCTCTGACTAACATGTATGTCCCAGAGTGGTGTCTCAGTTTTGCCATCACAGTTGCTGGTGGCACACAGAGCCAGTTTTTAACAACACTACTATGTTAACATTTACCATAGATTAACATAAATGTAGATTATTAACAATTTTACTACTTGATAGGACTTGAAGAGAAAGGGGGCCTTTTTTGTGGACTGCTTCTACCACTCATTTCCCCAGAAATCCGAACACTGTGAGATAAAATTCAAGTCTAAGATTTCTTGTGGCACTGGAGACTCAAGCTACAGCATAACAATCTGTGCTCTTTTTTTCCTCTCTACCATCAGAACAAGATTTATTGTTTTCTGCTGTGGGGCTGAACTCTTACGTAAGGCTCAAAACAGCATCTGTGGGTATAATTACAAAATTGAAAATGTGACAGGGGAAAGGCTAGTTGCACTGTGATTGCATGCCCTCTAGCTGATGAATTTGTCCATTTCATCTCATCTTCAGAGCCCCTCCCTGTGGAGATCTAAATTTACACCTTCCAGAATGACTTAACTACCATGTTATCCTGTGTTCTGTGTGCAACACCCTTCACTGACTCTCTTCCACATCGTAGAGGATAAATATTCTCTAAGACAATAAAAAAAGAGTAAACACAACTTGGTTAGGATACATTTCTGAGAAAGGGGAGACCTTGATTCCAACTTCTGCTCTGAATCAAAACATGGATATGAGCCAAGATTTGTCACCTTCCAGGAAAGTGCTTTAATACCGAGTCATTTTCCTTCTCTCTGGCTTAATGAATATTTAAGTAGTCCATGCAAAATGGAACAGAATCAGTGGGAGAGACTGTGAACAAACCTCTCTAGAATACCTTACAATATTGTAGCTAGGTCATTTTTGAGGAGATATGGCTTCAGATCCTCACATGAAAAAGAGAAATATTGAATCTGCCTCCTATAATTTTGGTGAATATGTTTTAATTTCCTTAGCTTTTTTTTTTTTTTTTTTGCCTTCACTCCGATCTCCACCAAGTGCTACCAAATAAAACATTTAGAATATAGGGAAACAAGTAACTTTTATTTTAAAGTTAATTATTTGGACATTTTAAAACATCTGTGAAATTCAACCAAAATTTCCAACTAGTTTAGCTATCCTGAAAATGTTGGGATGTTGTTTGTTTGTTTTTTTGGTTTTTTTTTTTTGTTTTTTTTTATATATATATATAAATAATCTGCTTAAAAAGAATAAAAATAAGCTCTCTAACCAAAAGAGCTGCTTAGCTCTCACAGAAAAACGCAATGTGCATTCTCTTGCCACTGCTACAGAAGGGACATTTTATCTTCATCCACCTGAAGGACAAGTATGAAACAGTGGGATGGCTGATGTGGTTTCCTAAAGGGACATGTCAGTTTATGAGGCTGAACAAGCAGTCTCATCCTCTTCTAGTCTTGGCATGTGTTCCTACCCTGTCTCTTGCTCTGACATTAGTCATCCAACACAAGCAGTTTGAATATGACTGACTCACTGGTCTGAGTGAAAACCAAGTGTTGTTTTGTTTGTTTGTTTGTTTTTGTTTTCCTCTGGGCTGGTTCCATGTTGGCTTGCCAGTCTTGTCCACTCCATGGCTGCATAATTCCTAGAGCCTTTTGGCAAATTTGTTGTCTTAGACTGGCTTCAGTCAGACAAAACTAGAAGGGGAGGGATAAAAGAAGAAGTCCTTTTTGGGAAATGAATGGATGCCAAGAATGGACAGTTGATGCTGGTAGAACTGCACAATGTGGCAGACACATAGTTATCTCTTTCCTCTGTGCATCCATCTGTGAAGGTCTCCAAAGAAGGCAGCACATCCCCTTGTCTGTGTCATAACTATGTGGCTTGTGTTTGTATGAACCTTAAGTCAGACTAAAAATAGACATTATTATCCTTTCCTAGCTACAAGTCAGGTTATTTGTTTAAGTGCTGCAGTTCTGCCTGAGTGTCTCTTATTAAAAAGATTTGGAAATATATTCTCCAAACCCCTGGGATAAGCTGACAAACAGTAAGTTTGTTTTTCACATCCCTACTGACCATAGTGGAGCCATTCAGACTTTCTCTTCATAACAGGTAGGTCCTACAGGGACACTTTAAGAGTCAAACTTATTTTATAACCTTGCATAATTAATGTAATTCCCTACAATGCTTCTATTAGGATTCACCGTTTTTGTTGGTGGAGTATCTTTAGAAATATAAATATAACATTTCAGTGTGTCTGTCCACACATTTTTAGAGTTTCATCAATGATGAATGATGTTAAATGTATAATATTGTTATTTATTAAATTATTCAATGTATTATTTTTCACATTCATCCAGTACTTTTTGTACTCAAACTTTAACATTATACCTAAACAGTAGCAACAGCAACTGTTGCTATGGTGTTGTTCTTGCTTATAGAAGGACATTGTCAACCATAAACTGTATCTTTAACATTCTAGCCAAAGCACCTCCTCTCTTTTTTGGTGTGTGCAAATGTATTATGCCTCTTGATGAATATTGTTAATTCAATTTTTAGGGCTAGAGTAGTTCCAGAACTGATGAATACATTTGCATAAAAATTCGGTATTGTGCCTGTCATGGGTGGGCTGTGTTCATTATTAAAATAATGAGTTCTGGAGGAATCACTCAGTGTTTAAGAATTTCTTCCTGTACACTTTCTGCCATGTTTATTTGTTATATGTGTTCTGGTGGCAGGCACAACAAGCTGGATGCTGGCTACACATTCAGTATGAGTCTGTCTGTAAAGGAACAGATCTTACAATCAGACTCCTACCGCCCCGGCACAGACAATTTTCAGTATTTGGACAGTCATTTCAGAGTCAATGTTTCAGTTTAAAATATCAAGCTAACAGAATGCTCTTTGAAACAGAAGGTGATAAACATATTCGTCAAATGTTAACCTTAAGAAAAAAATATTCCCGGTTTTTACTAGATCTTCTCAAGTTCTTGAAGACTTCATTTTGCTTTAGAAAATATAACAATGGAATCATTGATGTAGAGAAGCTTTTGTTTTCTTAATATGGTAAATTCCTTTTTCAATGCCTTCAGAAATAAAATAGATCATCATCTAAAACATCAAAATAACTCCCATATTTTTGGATTTCGTACACCAGATTATAAAGGTAATGGGAAAAAACCTGAACAGAAGCAGTTTACTAGTTACTAAAGCTTGGGGACAGATTGAACTGTTAGACATATGAGCATAAATATGTAGTTATGCTCTCAAGAGCAGTCAGATTACTCCAGATTTATGCTTGGCTACCTGAGATTACCATCTGGCCAAGGATTTTTTTTTTTTTTTTTTTCTGTAAGTATGTTTCTGTAATTAGCAATGTTGGTAAAAAGAAATGTCGAAAAATAAAATGTCACACTGCCCAGGTTTTGATAAATACCTTGAACGGCTGTAAATCTTTTTATGAAGCATTCTTTATTTAAATTAAAGGGGACAAAGAACAATGGCAGACTCCAATCTGTGTTTGATTTTCTTTCAGGCTGTATCATAAATACTGAAAGAGTAATTTAAAATAATGCCTACTGTTGACCTAGAACCTTCCACCCTCCTTTCCTCATCAAGATATTTTCTATTAAATATACACAGCGGTTGTATGTACAAGGATTAACATACAGAGAGGGTAGAGATGCACCTTTTGCATAGCAAGACATTTTGTATGAATAATTTTTACTGGACTAATCTAGTAATACATCTGCAGCATCATGTCTGAAATTATTTCTTTAATCCATAAAAAAATCCTTAATACATAAAAATAATTTATTCAGTACACAAAAAATACAGAAATTTCCTTGCTCTGTTTCCAGATCCTCTCTATGTGATCATTTATATTGCACCATTATAATGAAATTCCCCACTGCTGGGTTCTCATACCAACCGATTCATATTTGCATCTGCACTTTTAGTTTGACAAAACCTTTGTTTCCTCAAGCTGGCAAATGTTTCCATAGTCTTTTTATTCTCTCTTTCTTTGATGTTAGAATTCGTGTTCAATCCATCCCTGTTTCAGGAATTAACCACAGTCTTACTGCAATTTTCTTCCTAATACAAGCATTCTGTTTCCTTAAAGTCTGAGCTCAGTCAAGGGCACTGTATTTCTTCTTGTACATTATACTTCATTTACTTTTTCACTATTGTAACTTGATTTTCTTAATGACATGCCTTTCTTATTACTTTTGCAATCTGAATAACAAACAAGGACTTACCAGTCAGCCATGATATTGTTGTTTCTCTTTCTTAATACACAAAAAGGGAAAAAAAATTCTCCTCTTGTCTAGACTTCCTCAACTAGGAAGACAAATTTTTAAAATGTTTCTTAGATGGGAAGTGTTTCCACACTATAGGAATTACCTTGTGGAAACTGTTTATTCATAACAAATACATGACTAAATTTTTATTTACAAAAACTCCTAGTACATGTTGTATGCTTTTTGCATCTCTAAAAAAGAACAACTCATGGTCCCTGAAGGTGTCCTGGGTTTGAATGAGTGGTGGGGTTTTGGGTAGCAGGGGAGGGGGCTACAGTGGTAGACCCCTGTGAGAAGCTTCTTGAAGCTCACCCAGATCCAAGTCGGCCCCACCTCTGTACCAAGTCTGAGAATATCAGCTGCGGCTCTGTGATAATGTGAGCAGCTGAGTGATGCTCAGTTACCCTCTGAACTCAGACCACTATGCCTTTTTCTTTATTTTCTCCTTTTCAGCACTGGGGGGGAAAGGGGGAGTTAGCAGCTGCATGGTGATCATTCACCTTCTGAACTCAAACCACGAATGTCTGATTCAGATAACTGATCATAAAGTGGATCTTTAAGAGATGCTTGTAAATGACCATCTTAGGAACCTTGGGAATTTTCTCATAGAAATTATGGTACTTTCTTGAGGAATGCTGAAGAAGTTGTGGAAGGATGTAGGTAGGAAAATGCCTCATTTCAAATGTGCATCAGCATAAAATTCAAGAAAAGATTAAAATGTTGGCTTATATCTAAAATAAAAGAGTAGATAAAGAGGGAAGTTTTTAAGAAAGGGTCCTGATGTTTGACTTTGGAAAGGGAGCTTGAGGCCCGTGAGGTTAGCTTCAGTAGAGCAGAAAAACTGGAAGCCGAGCTGCAGAAGAGGAAGTTGGTTCTTTTGTTGTAGGAGGTACATCACATGATTTTAGAGGTTGGGGGGACATCTGGAATGGAACCAGTGTTTGAGATAGGAGTTAGAAAGGATTACAGAAACTAGAGAATTTCCTGGAAGAAATTTCTGAATTTTCTGAAAGAGGAAAGGGAAATATAGGACAGTGAGAGACCGGGAAGAAAGGTGTTGGAGAGGACCAATACAGAAGCAATAGAAGGAAAGAGGTTGAACTGATGATTGGGGCAGAAGAGAGAGTTAAATATCTAGCGTGGAGCTGAAAACTACTCAAATCTGCACAAGCCTGCCACGGTATGTCTGAAACATATGGTGTTCCCAACAACTCAAGTTTAAGGAGCAGCTCCTCAGGTTTGCCAGCTTACACTAAGAGGATCAGTGCTTAGGTTTATTGTTATCATAATGACAGAGGTTTTTAAGAGTCAGTGTTTCTGTTAAAGATACAATCACAGAGGAATTAATTAGTTCTGACAGAAGTCGGTTTGACAGTGGTACTCAAGAGAATATGATAGTCAAAAGGGAGACAATGACAACACACAGCAAGATTGTTCCTTTTGCAAAGCATTAGAGAAAGTTGTTCATTGGCACATACAATGAATCAGGAAGTCTTCAACCTCTTGGATGTAAAAGCTAAGCATATAATACGTCATTGCCATGCTGAGCTAAACCTGATTTTTTTAATAGTCTGCTCACAACAAGATGGATTAATGATTGGCAGAGAAACAAGGAACACAGAAAAATAATTCAGAGAATTAAAGGATCAAAGCGATTTGGCTCTGTTGAGGCAAACAAATAATTTAAAATTTGAAGGGGAAAAGGAGGATGATAAATAAGGACAAACTCAAACATTAACTTGGAGAAAATCTAGCAAAATATGTTCTTTCTTTCTTTGTTCTTTTGTCTCTTCAACTTACAACTCAATTGAAGGAGACTTCAAAGTTTATTCAATTTATTTTGGTTTTCTAAACTCAATCAAGGACATTATACAAGTGAAAGTTTTTTCATGTGGGGTTGTTCTATGTCTACAAATATTTATTTCTATACGTGTGATCACTGAATTGCAGCGTATGTGCAGTGCACCTGAAAGTGCAATTGAAATTTCTTATATTTCTGATGAGATATGCTTTCTTATCATTACTTCTTTACACCGTTAGTTTGAAGCTCTGCTCTAATTTCTGTGCTATCAAGAGACTTCTAGGCAAATCATATACCTTCTGATTTTAAACTCTCATTGCTTTGCAATGCATTTGTTCTGTTAACTGATTGTTTCAGCTGCAGTGTGTTGGGAAGAGCTGCATCCAGTACACGGGGACTCACCTGTTGTCCTTAGGGTCTAAGTCTTGAAATAATCATCTTGTCTTTGTTTAGTGCAAATGATGAGCTGCCTTTGACCCTAAGCTTTCATGCGTCACCAATGCAATATCGGTGAGTCTGGTCCTCGCCACTGGCTGTGCTGTGCCAACACAGGTAGCAAAACTGTCCCAAAAGAACAAGCCAACAAACAAGTAGATAACTAATAACCCAAGTAGCAAGGAGTGATATTCAGGGAAAAGACATTCAGAGCACAGACCAAAATGACTCCAAGTAAAGGATGGAGTCATGTTCAATCAAAACACTCTCAGCAAGAAGTCCTCTAAGCCTCTCAGGGTGGAGGTAAGGGCCAGATATGAGGGTGGTGTTGTGGGAGTGACTTGGTTCTAATCAGGATGCCAGAGATGATAATATATACAAAGCAGATAACAACACTGGTCTCAGCTGTGGCTTTTACAGTGATTATGAATCCTGGCTTTATTTCTGATAAGTATTTCTGTGCCCAGGAATGTTAATTCTTGTACATTCTCCCTTAGCTGCTATTAGTAGCAAACTGTCTTTTTTCAGCTTAGGAAAGAATGAAGTTCTTCCTAAAAGTTGACCTGTGCTCTATGTTACTGTGGATTTTTTGAGGTTTTCTCTACAACATGATGCAGAACTATTTGAATGTGAATTTAATTTTTTCCAAATTTGTCAGTATTTGGATCTCAGATCTGTATAACTACTTAGTGAAACACTGTATGACAGAAAGTTACTAAAATCAGACTGTTGGTTTTTTTTTCTAAAACTATCATAGATCAAATTACAAGTTATGAGTGGGAAGGAGGAAAGAGGATAAAGAAAAACAGAGTTATGATATTAGACCTCTGAAAAAAGTGGAGCATTTCTGACAGAGAAAGTGGAGGAAGCTTAGAGACACGTTAATGAAAAATAAAAAAAATGATTATAAGATGTTAGTTTATCTCTCAGCATGTGCTTTAGTTGATCAAAAAGATGGTTTGCAGATAGAGACTATTAAAAAGATGGGTGACACTAATAATAAAAAATGAATTTCTCAGATATAAGGAGTGGCTTTTGTCCAAAAATCAAATTGAAAATTAAATTATAGAAAGCAGTAATATAGGAAGATAATTGCCAATATGTTCAGATGAGATAGAAGATAAGAGAAAATTATTCGGTAAGAAAATGACAATAGTATGTAGAAAAATATTTCTAAAAAAGTCACTATTTTTATTGTCTATAGGGAATAAAACCGTCTTTTAAGAAAATTATCAGATTTTCTGACATAAGAATTAAATAATGGCTAGATAACAAAGAGCTCACATAAAGACTTATTTAAAATCCTACTACATAGAGAAAAAGCTTAAATATATTGCTGTCATCCACAAAGCTAACAAATATTATTTGTCTCCAATTTCTGTCAAGATGCCTTAAATTACCAGAGTTTACTGGTTTTAACATATTTTTTTCTTTACAATATCTGGAAGCAGATACACATGAAAAGACAGTAACTCTTCTGTACAGAACTCTGGATGGGGTTGGGCCCAGACCTGGTGAAGGTATGGTGAAGATCCTGGCTACAGTAGCCTGAAGCCTTGTGGCTGGGATAGACTGCCTCCTGACATGGATCAGCCGATCGGAATATAATGGAACTGCCCCACCTTGCTGTAGCCACAGCTTGTAGCTTTACCCCGTGCAATAGGATTCACCTCCTTTCCCTTTGTTCCACCAGGATGGTGTCATGGTACAACTAGAGACTGGAGATTAGGGCTGAAAAAGGAGGGGCAAAGAAAGGCCCTACCACTCCCT